CTACTGTAAATCATAACAGATTAGAAACTTAATGATATAAATCAGACACTAATGGATTAAAGATTCTAGGCAAAAAGAAAAAACTGCTTTTGGTTTTGATTAGAATTGAGATTTACAAAATATTAAACTCTATAACATTGGAAATATAAAATGAGATCTTTGAAGAATGAGTTCAGAAATTGGTAGCCATGATATCAACAATATCAGTAGCAATATCTGCTTCTGTAAATATACAATTTCAAAAGGAAGTTAATGAAGGAATGACAGATGTAAAACAAATCTTGCTTGATGCAGAAATAGAATAAAAAAATACTGGATTTTAAAAAAATGTAGATTACAGAAAAGACTTTTAAAATGGAAGTACCAGTGACAGGCCAAGAGAATGACCCCAATAAGGACTCTGCAACGGATATACATAGGAACCTGGCTTAAGTTTTAAAAATTAAAAGGGAAATACAAATGATAAATGAAAAGAATGACTTGAATTATTTTTTTTATTAAATTTGCTGTGATAAATTCTCAAAGGCAGCTATGCAATGGGACAAAGAATCTATATACTGTTAAAATTCTTGCGTCTGTAACCTTTAACTGGATGAAATGGTGCATAATAGGGCAAAATATTTTCAGTCAAGGTATCTCAAATGGACTAACTTATGGAATTCTGGGACCTATATCTATGAAGGGAATCAAATTTGGGAAAGTTGTGACTGCTTCAGCACTGCCAGGCTGCTGCTAGTTCAGGACCCACACCATATGGCTGGGGTCATGTGATTCTCATTTTCAATGTTCCCAGACCTAGCCATTTGCACAATCCCACAACCCCGGCCCAGGAAGGAAGTATCTCTGAAAAACTGACTCAATGGATCATGGTTTGTCTTGTTTGAGGAAAGAATTCTATGACAATATTTGAATGAATTAAAAGTGTAAGTTTTTGAGAAGTAAAAGGAAGGCATATAAAGTTGGTTAATTGATCAAGGTTAAAATAAGAGGTTTTTATCAAATTCTGGCAACTCTTTACAGGGTTTGTGCTGATTCCAGGATTAAAAAGTTGATACAGATTTGCTTACAGATAAGGGATGAGTTGAGGGAAAAATAAATATCTGTTGGAAAATTTATAGGGGTAAAGAGCTACGAAAGTTGATTATACATGGTTGAGATTGAAAGTCACTTCTTTGTATATTTGTTTTCTTTTTCCTTATTTCACTCTTTCCCTTTTTTACTTTTTCTTTGCATTTTTTACTCTCTCCCTTTCTGTGTCTGAGATTATCTTGCATTAGTTTTTATTACTATAATTTCTTCAGTAAAATTGTGTGGGTTTCTTTACTATACACATACATAGAAATACGTATATACAACTGCTGTATGTTTCACAAAAGTGGATAATCTCATTTAGTCACATGTTTTTAAACACATACATTTATTTTTATCATATACAAACTTAACAGTCATGTTACAGAAAACCACTTGGATAATGTATCTCTTTCATAGCATAAGGAAAGGCAGTCTGATTGATGTACAGCCCTGCTTTGTTCTTCCTGTCTGACTCATCAGCTTTATTTCACAAAATATCTCTGCGTCAGTCATTTGAAAGATAGCTCTGGACTGCTGAGAAAAGAAAGAAAGGAGCCAGCTCTGGGAAATTTACAGTGTTCCACTAAGTCAGAAATAATAAATAGACAATTTAGATCACAGGTTACCAGAATAGAATAACAAAACAACAGAGTTGGAAGCCTGCTTAACCAGGGGGCTCCTGTATCATTTCAGACAATTGATTGTCCAATCTCTTTTTGAAAACCTCCAGTGATGGAGCACCCACAGCTTTGGAGGGGAGTTCTTCCACGGATTAATCGTTCTAACTGCCAGGAAATGTCTCCTTGATTCTAGGTTGCTTCTCTCTTTGATTAGTTTCCACCCATTGCTTCTTAGAATCATAGAATAACAGAAGGTCATCTTGTCCAACCCCCTGCTTGAGCAGGAGAGTCTATTCCAAATATTAGCCTCTACCTAGGATTGAACTCCCAGCCTCTTGACTGTGTGGCGAGAGCTCCACCTCTAGGCCACTGGAGCTGTTGTGTTGCTTTCAGGTGCTTTGGCTGCCTTTGTGGCAGCCTCTGAGATATTTGAACACTGCTACCATGTCACCCCTAGTCATACCCAATTCCTGCAGCCCTTCTTCATATGTTTTAGTTTCCAGTCCTCTACAAATGGAGTCATCTATGCAGGAACAGAAAGTTGACCAGAGGGGGAGGGTAAAATCAATTTCATGATGGTCAAATGGTTACTTGACGTTTAACCTTAATGATTTAAACCATAGTTTACAGGTAGTTCTTGACATAACAATTGTGTGTTGTGACCAGAAAATTTTCATTAAGTGGCACAGTCATTGTTCTGTATTAGCATTCGCAGAGAAACCCGCACCCGATTGGCCCGCCTGAACTGAAGCCCGATTGGCTGACTGCCGGGCCGTGATTGGAGCGCCACGAATCTCCCGCGATTGGCCGAGCCGATCGCGGGAAATTCGAAGCGCTGCCATTGGCCGCCGAGCCGCCGGCCGGCAGTATAAAGCCAAGCGGGTTTACACAGTTACTTTGTCCATAACTAGAGCTGAATAAAAAGAGCTGAATGTTCACTTGCGTCTCGCCTCTTTTGTGACCCGATCCCGGATCTAACA